CTACCATCTTTGAAAAAAAACTGCTGAAATCATTTGTGCAGTTTTGATTGTTTTGGCAGAATTTTTCCCATGAATGTGTAAGATTTATTTATATTTTTCTGGGTATGTGTCCTTAATTAAAATCATGTATTACAAATACCTTTTTCCACTCTAGTGCTTACCTTTTTATTTCCTAAACAGTGTCTTTGGAGAAAAGAAATTATAAAATTTAATTTACAATTAATCCACATTCTCCTTTAAACTTGGCGGGTTTTGTTCTCTGTTTAAAAAAATCTTTGCCTAACCCAAGGTCATGAAGGTACTCTTTTGTCCTTTTCTTTGACCACTTTTGTTTTATCTTTCAAAATCAGAGTGACAATCAGGTTAGAATCATTTGTGTGTGTGTGTGTGCGTTACCAGAGGTCAAGTTTCATGCATTCCCACATGGGTACTCAGTGTTGTAGCACCATTTACTGAAAATATTATAATTCATTTACTGTACTACAGTGTCTCATTTGTCATAAATAAGTGGGTGTATATGTATAATATGTTTCTTGACTCTTTATTGCCTTTCCTGGTCAGCTTGTTTGTGTAGGAGTTATATATCTGTTATCACTACACTTTCTTAATTATAGCTTTATAACAAATCTTGATATATTGGAAAGTAAATCATCCTATCATGTCACTCATCTTCCAGATTGTCTTTCCTATTCTTGAGCCCTTGAATGTTCATATAAGTTTTATAATCAGATTGTCAATTATAACCCACAGAAAATGCTAAAGATTTTTGTTGGAGCTGCATTTAATCTAAGAGCCATAGGGGAAAAATTGACATCTCGTAATATTGCATCTATTAACTCATGATCATTGTATATCCCTCCATTCACTTGCAGTATTCCATTTCTTTCCAAGTGAATTGTAGTTTTCTGTGTAGAGCTATTGAAAATATGTTGTTAGGTTTGTCTGTAGGTATGAGTTTTGTTGTGATGCTATTATAAGTTATACGTATATATATATGTGTGTGTGTGTATATAAACATATTTATCTGTCTGTGTTTTATAAGGTTTATATGCCCAAATATCAAGATATACTCTAAATCTAGAATAACTACAATGTGTTTGAAATGAGCAATTAAGACAGGTTTGAAAATCAGGCTAATGGAGCAAAGTGCCTAGAGAGAGACCTGCACATATATGGTCAATTCAATTATGACAGAAGCTCATAGCAATTAAGTGTGAAAATAATTGTCTTTCAGTGGTGCTGGGTCAATTAGATATGCATATGGAAAATATGTAAACACTGGTCCCTACTTGAAACAATCTTTTCAGGCTGAATCATAGCCTTGAATGAACTTATGGTATAGCTTCATGATCTTGGGTTAGGTTAGGTACAGATTTTTTAAGCAAGCTGCAGAAATCTTTAATTATTTTTTCATATAGTTACTGATAATATTTGGGTTTCTCTCTACATTTTAGTATTTGTTTTCTTTGTTTCAACTGTCTTATATTCCATTTTCTCTCTTCATTGGCTTATTTTGGATGAGGCACTTTTAATATAATTCCAATTTCCATGTCAAAACTCATAGTTAAATATTCCCTTACTATTCTTTTAGCTGTTAGTTTAGGTATTAAGACAGGCATTCTGGACATGTTGGTGTCTAATGTAAATTACTACTTTTACCTCTTCATGGATATTTCTTGGACCTGAACATATTTAACTCCAATTAATTCCATTTACATGCTATATCATGTCTTACTTTTAAATATATTTTAAATCCCATAGCTGATTATAATTTTTGGTCTGCAATTTTACTATTAATTTCAATTTACCTGCATGTATACACTCTTTCTTGTTCTTCATTCTTTCCATTATTTTAATGCTTTTGTCTGGGGTCATTTTCTTTATGCTGAAGAATTACCGTTAGTTTTTAAAAAATTTTATTTTTCAATTAAAGTTTATATGCAATATTATTTTATATTAGTCTCAGGTGTACAGCATTGTGGTTAGATATACTTTACAAAGTGTTCCTTTAGTATTTTTTGACAGAAATCAGCCTATATGACTCATCTCAGTTTTTGTTCATCCGAAAAATATCTTTATTTTACTGTCACATTTGATTTTTCCCCCCAGCACTTCAAAAATGCCCTTCTATTTTTCTTAGGGTTACTTTAAAATTTTTCACTTTCTTTTTAGATTTCAGTCTTTTAAATGGGATACCCGAGAGTGGTTCTTTGTATTTAGTCTGGTTGGAGTTTAGTGATTCTCTTATATCTATGTGTTTGATAGGCTAATATCTTTGATGAGTTTTGGAAAATTCTCAGACATTATCTCATCAAAATTATTCTGGCTCCTTATCTTCCTCTTTCCCTTTTGGGATTCCAGTTACCTCTGTTAGCCCCTTTTTTCAGACTATAAGATGCACTGTTTCCCCCTCAAATTTGGGAGGAATAATGGTTGTTAATGCTGCAGCTGAGTTCTGTTTACATTTACATTGGTGAAAAATTATGTTATTTATGTTATTAAATATTTTACTACATTTTTTGCTTCCAAAATTTTTTTCCTATTTTTCTCCTCTAAAACCTAAATGCATCTTATGGTCTGAAAAAATAATGGTACTTCTTTTCTCTATTTTCTATCCATTTTCTCATACGTTACAAATGGCATTATTCCCTACTGTCATTTCTTCCAGCTAACTGATCCTCTCTTCATCTTCAATATCCTGGAAACCCACTGAGGTTCTTAGTATCAGTTCTTTTCTCTTTACTTTTACAATCTCCCTTTGATTGCTGATTCTTACTGACCATTGCTGGAGGGTAAATTCTCCATCTTGCCCACACTCCCAAACAAACATATTAATCACCTTTCGGGAGACTGTTCTTTCAAGGGTCATCATATATCAGGAAATTTGTTCCTTTTTTGTTGCTTCCCCCGACCCTTGATCCTATTTCTTGATATAGCCATAATTTCTTCCAAAAAATAAATGCCCAACATTTTATATAAAACATAGATAATGTCTCTGATTTGTGTTATTTTTTTTAAAGAGGATTTTTTTTTCTTCTCCAGGTATTTGGGGTAGGGGAAAAATCACTCTACACTATTTGGATACTGAAATAATTTCAGGTTGGATTTCAGGGTGTAGAGAGCCTGGTCTAATTCTGAATTGTCTGTACTACTAGGGCAGAGCTTTGTGGGAGTAGCAGGAGCCTAACCTGGTCTTGTACTGTTTACCAAGGTTCTCCTTCTTCACAGTGTCTGACCTCAAATTTTTCTCTCCTGAAAATGCAACACCTGATCTAAGCTTACCTCCTAATCCTCTTGGTGATTGCTCCGTTCTTCGCCTGTGTCACTTAGATATTGTCAAATAACTCAAGGAGGGGACAGGCACAGAATACTGTGCTGCTACTCTGTGCTTCCCTTCTCTCTGAAACGTGACCTCATCCATCCCAGCTGCCTTGGTAGGCCCTGAAACCTTGGTAGGTCCTTCTGCCCGTGTCCCTCTGATTGACTTTTACTCTCACTCTTGCTCTCTATATATACATGCATGTTTGGTTTGCCGCAAGCAAGCCGATCTGTTACAGTCTCAGACAGAAGTCCCCAAAGGTTTTATTTCTGGGAAACCAAACAACTCCAGTTGGCCTAAACTTTCTAGTTTATTTCTGGGAAACCAAACAACTCCAATTGGCCTCCATCTTTCTAGTTCCAACTGAAGAATTTTCAGGGACCCTAGCATTTAGAAGATTGGGTACAGCTGAAAGGCTGTACTTGTTAAGGAGATAACAGAAAGCAGTATCCAGTTAGAGTGGTGGTTCTCTAAGTGGTCCCTGGACCAGTTTCAAACTTAATTTCACAGTTGTTTTAATTTTCCCACAGGTATTAAAATACTAACAATTTCGATCAAACCTAACACTATAATTCTAATGACTTCATCTTTTCCCCTTCAAGTCACACTCCAGAACCTCTCAGACTACACAATTCCCTTTAATTTTGCCCTATTTTTTCCCTTGAAGCACAATGTATAATCTATGACCTTGTTAAAAGAATGCATATTTCTGGGCCTCACTCCATCCTAGTGAATCAGAATCTTTGGAGAGGGGGCCCCAGGGAACTGTTTTAACATGCTCCCTGGCTGATTCTTATGCACCTTAAAGACTGAACACCAATGGCCTCTCAGAAGAGAAAGCCGGAAGTCACTGTCATAAATCCGAACCCTCATTTCATCATTAACTTTTAAAACTCCTTGGTATTCACGGCCTCAAACAGTGCTGTCTGCATTTTAGGTGCTCAGAAAACATGGCTGGAAGTAGGGCTGCCTAATTTAATAACTGAGATCATTTAACGAACATGTGTATCCTTCAGAGACCGTCCTCCTCATTGACAAGATGATGAAAATGGCTGTGTCTATCCGAAAACACAGTGCAAATCTCATCTTATCTATCTTCTAAATATTCATAAAATTCAGATAACCACAATTTGGCAAAAAAAGAGATGCTCATAACAATATCTCCAAAGTCCTACAAAGGTATGAACTCTCAATTGCCAAAGAAAGTACGCTCGATCGTGTTGCGATAGGCCTTTGTATGTGTATGACCCAGCAGGCTGCCTGTGGAAAAGAAAACCCAAGACTTCGGGTTGGGAGAGGAAGATGGCATTGGTATTTTTTTAGGTTGGTTGAGGATGTATGTATGCAAAATTATTTTAAAAAACATTAAGATATTATGGAAAAACATTTTTCTAAAAGTGCCAGTAAAGCAAGGTTAAATCCAAAAAGAACCCCCAAGAAGTGAGATAGTAAGTGGAAGTGAAGAACACTTGCAGTGAAATACAAATAATTGACAAATTGCATCAGAGAAAGTGACATGATAACAACAACAAGAAACTACGGGTGGAAGGAAATAAAAATTTAAATAATCAAGTTAAAAATATGTCAACAAAACCCAAAAAGGTATACAAACCCAGCCACGATTTCTTAGGAAGAAATCCCTGGCTGCAGGAGGTAGAGGGGAGATGGAAGTCGGTCCTACCTCCTCCAGTTGCACCATGAGCGTGACATTGTGCCCTTGTTCCGCTGTCAACTTGCCGTCAGCAGTGACGATCCGGAGCCCACGTGGGGCCTTCCCTGGACACTTCTGGGGTTTGGCAGTGTACTGTTCTCGTACTCCATCAGTGCAGTTGTTGGAAACCACCTTCCTGTACCTACATGGAGAAAAGGTCAAGTTGTAATCGGGCTCATTGTAATTTGGATTGCTCCCAATTTTTAAAGCTAAACTTACTGCCTAGTCCTGGTGGCTATCAATAACTACATTTCATGTAGCTCCAAGGATGGCAGCTGAGTCCTATAAGGCACCCAACAGAAATACAAATCCACATAATAACATGGTGTTCCTGTTACTAGCCCTTTAATACTAAAGGGCTAGTATTAAATTTAATACTTTTTTCATTCACCTAGCCAATCAACGAACTGTTTTACTTCAGAGCCATAGGAAATGCACAGCAGTAGAAGACACGGTTTTTGCCCTCACTAAATTTATAATCTACTTGAAGAGATCTATGTGGACAATTTTAGGATATTTCAGGGCTATATAATTAAGGGTTAGAAGGAGTAGCAATACATATTGCGAAGGAATTTGCAATTCAGAGAAAGAACAGATTATTATGGGATGACATGATTTAACATTACGTCTCACAGAGCATGCTCTAGCAATGGCATAATGCAGAATGTTGGCTAAATATCAAAGTTTTCATCCAATATTTCGTGAGGGGTTATACTGTCTAAAACCATTGAAATCTCATGTTAAGGAGACTTCAGTCTGCTGATTGAGTGAATTCTTCCTGTCATTTTGCTTATTTCTCCTTGTTTCAGCAGGCAAAGAGGGGTAAAATTGAGGGTGGGAGATGGGGGTGGGTGGGGTGGAGGAAAGTGGTGGCAGGAAAATGGAGACACCTGTACTTGAACAATAAAAAAACATAAAAAATTAAAATGAAATTATCCTAAAAATTTACCCTGTTCAAATGATCAGATTCATAATAAATTAAATCTGTGGTTTTAGAATGACTAACCTTTAAGGCTTTGCAGGTTCGGTGTTACTTATTCATCATCTTTTTGTGTGTGGTCTACAGTAACTACTTTATGGATTCATATACTTGATTTCCCAAGACTGCTGTCTATAAGTAGTGGTAGAGCTCAAAGTGGAAGGAAAGCCCAAGATCTGTCCACTCTTCTAGACCAGGGGTTCACAAGCCTTTTATATAAGGGACCAGATAGTAAATGTTGAAGCTTTGTGGTCTATATGGTGTTTGTGGAGTGAAAGTGGACACAGGCAATGTGCAAAGAAGGAATGCAGCTGTGTTCTAATAAAACTTTATTTACAAAAACTGGCAGTGTCCTAGATCTGGCTTGCAGGCTATTGTTTTCTAATCCCTTCAAATCTAACCAAGGTTCTCTCCTCTGTTCCCGAGTCTCAGAATTGACTAGCTCAATGCATGGTTGAAAAAATCAAATTAAATACTGTGGGAGAAAGTGCTTTGAATACAGTGAATCATTACAAGGTCAATTTTTAATCTTTAACTCACCATGTGGGGTAGTTGTATGGATTAAATGAATTCATGTACACAGAGTACTTAAAACCACTCTGACAATTAGCAAGTGCTTATGAAATGATGCCACTTATTTTTATTTAACACTATTATTATTTCTCCTACCTGTCCACAACTCTCACATCTTCCAGATGTCTTTAGGATAAGTTGCAAATCCAGCTACCTTGTGCAGAATGCCCTGGATGAGCTAACTTCATGCTATTTTCCTGGACTCTTTTTCTCCAATAAGCTCACTCTGTTCTAGCCACACTTTTCTGCTCTTTCTGCCTCTCTGTCCTCCTGCATGCTCCACAGCTGCCCATGCTTTCACTTACAGCTAGCACCTGTCTTTTCCTGACTGTGGTAGTACAGTAGTAAGACAGGAACAAGTGCATAGAGAGTTCTTACTATGCTTTAGTTTAGTCATTGTGCTAAGTTTTTAACAAGACTTTTCTCATTCACCTTCAAAATATTCCTAATAAGGAAGGTATTCTTATACTTTAGGTACAGATGAATAAACTAAGGTTCCAAAAAGTTGATTAATTTTCTCAAGATTACACAGCCAGGACCCTAGACAATTTATCTCTGGAACACATATGCTTTTTACCATTACATTGTACAGATCCTTCAAATGGAGAAATATCATCCCTCCTTTAAATGCTTAAAGGAATCCTTATTGTTGACTTGATAGGAATCAATTTATGCCTTGTCAACTGCCTTCCTGTGTAGAATGGTAAACTTTAAGCTCCTTGAGGGCACCCTTGAGCCTTGAATATGTGAGACTGGTAATCATGAGGTCCACACTGGGGTGGTTGTACCATTTTAAAAGAGAAAATACCTGCACAGCCGTTGGCTATTACCACTGCCCCAACCCCTTCCAACACCTCACCCACCAACCTGGCGGTGTTGATCCCTACCTTTGGGGTCCCTGCTTCTCCTTACAGGCCAGCAACTGAAGGGTTAACACCAAGCACAAGCAGGCAGCCTCCAAACCCCTGCTCTTGCACTAAGATCCCTGCCCATTCTGATTGGGCATTGTCATATCTGAGCATTTCTAACAGTCCCTCATTGGATATTTAAAAATTCTATTGCAGGTGCTTGTGAGTATATGCTGATTAAAACAGAAAATAATGGCAGGTGGGAGGAAAAACAAGGAATGCCACTGACATTGGGAATAGTGGCATTTTGGTACCAGCAAGGTAGCAAGAAAATGGCTGTCAATGTCATATAGTAATTATGGCATTTCAGTGAATTTAACTGTGAGTCAGAAACTCCCTGTGTGTTTCTGAGGCAAGGCACCAGGCAAAAGACAGATTATGATTTTTAATCACTCAGCACCCAAGCACACCTGTGCCTCTGTCTTGGCTAGCAGCAATAGAGGCATGGGCTCACTATCACCATTGTCACCATCAGCAAGGGAACAGCTCTTTTGTTTGTCTCTGCTCTGACCAATCATTGTCTCAGGCTTTCCTGAATCCTGTAGCAACAGGACTTCTGCTTAAATCCAAAGCACGGAACCATCCCCCTGTGATTCTGCCACCGAGAGACTATTGGTAATTTTTTTAAATGCTTATTAAAAACCATTTTATTTCCTGGATGAAAATGGCATCGCATTAGCCCCACCAGACCTGTCCCTTAAATTTAGAAGAAAATTGTCCAGAAATACAGAGTTAATTTACTCAAGTAAGCACGCACCTGCTTTTTGCATCACTGAATGCTCCTATTTTCATACCAGCAGCTGTCCCTGGGTCTGAGTTACATAAATGAATAATGCATTTAATATGTTATTAAATGGGGCTGCTACCTCCACAATAACAAGGCGACTTATGATTATGTCGGAGTGAAGCTCTGCATATTACTGGGACGCATTTAGTGGGCAGAGTGTTCTTCAGTCTACAAAGAAGAAATGTGACCTGTAATGGCAAGGGAGCCTTTCTTTGTACAATTACAGGAAAGGAAACATTCTGCAAATGTGCCTCTGATATTATCAACCGCTCATCAGTAGGTACTGTCTTATTACTTCAGTAATCCCAATTTTAACTATTCCTTCTCATCTTGATACCTCTCTGTCACTTTTCCTCTTTACCTCTCTCTTCTTTGATTTTGCTTCTCTATCGCCTGCCAGTCTTAACAAGGATAAGGCCATAGTTTTTCTTTGTGAGAGTAAAACTGGTGTTTTCCTACTTAGTAGTTTTTTTTTTTTTACCTTGTGAGTTTGGGTGGAATACAGATGTTTATGACTGTGCAGCCCATGGTAAGGTGACAGTAAGTCCACGGTAAGCCCACGGCATAGCCTAGCTCAGCAGATCAAACCCCCCTCTGCTCTTCAGGATCACTGGGAGGCACTTTTAAAATAAATGGATGTCAAAAACCCAATGCCAGGAATTATGATTTAATCAAGACTTCTGGGCATCACTGTGTTTGGTTTCTGCTTTTAAGCTTTCTGGCGGTTCTCGTGTGCATACGGCATCAGAGACCACTGCCTGGTTCAAACTAGTGTAGGACCTGATGACCCAGGTTTAAACTCAGGTTCTTACATACTATACGAACTTGGGCAATTTACTCAACCTGCCTCTAACATTTGGGTTGTTTGCCCACAAAATAGGGAAAATTACAGAATCTTTTCATAAAGCTCCTGGGAGGATGAAGTGTGATAATGGATTCAAAAGGGCTGAGAATAGAGTCTGGCACATGGTAAGAACCTAACAAATATTAAAATATCAAAAATTAGTGAAAATAGTAGTATTGAAACAATTAAACATTAACTTGCCATTATCCAGCAAATTCCATGAGAATAGAAGCTACATTCTTATTGCCAAGATCCTTGTAAGATCAAATCTGTCCATGTCAATTTCTTTCTTAATATAATTCAAAACTTACTGTGGACTTATTCATAAGGGGTATGATTCAGGGTTCAAGCAGAGTCCATGACCTGGCCTCAGTGTATTTTTCTAGCTTCAGCTCATTCCACTGTCCCACACAATTCTTACGCTCAGGCCACCCGGGTGTCTACAAGCCTTTTTCTGCCTGTGCTGTTCATTCCACTGGAATGTTCTTCCTTCCTGCCTAGCTCCTACACATTCTTTAAAAATCACCTTAGAAATTGAATTTTTCAGTCACGTTGTCTCTTCCATTTTTTGACAGTAGTTATCACATGTGACAGCCATGGTAGAGCTGGATGACACTCTAGGTCTTCCTGCAGCCAAGGTCAGTCTTATTGACTCTGAGCTACAGAGTCCTTCATCTGAGCTCACAAAACAGTGTGGTAATTGATGGGGGCAGAAGGTATAAGGGGACTACATGGTAATGGAGAAAAACACAATAAAGATTAAAAAAGAATTTATATAGCTTAATATTTTGGATTGTACTACATGCCTTGGCTTTCAAGGAAAAACAGCTTTGTTATAATATTTGACTTAATGAAACAAGAAATGCAGCAAGCCTTGGGAAGATAGAAGGGGGCTAGTTCTGAGTACAGTGTAGGGCTAAGACTTAACAATCTTATGCAGTAGACGTGACATCAGCATTTAGAAACAACTGGGTTCCATGGCTGACTAAGCAGGTTTTCCAAGTTTCTCTCCTCAAAGCAACAGTTCTCAGGATTTTCCCCTTGAATTGAG